AAGTGACTATAGTGAACAAAGCTGTCTCTTATAGCACTGCATAAGCACATCATTCGTTATTCATCTGACTCTCAGACCATTAGGACAAAAATGACAAATGCTTTGTATTGGTAAAAATCCACTATTATGTTGGCCTTTTCTTTGAAATATTTATAAACTCAATAATGGATAGTATGTCAAGGCAGTATTGTGCTAATTTGAAAGGAATACAGATATGAAAAATTTAACAACTGGCTTTAATTACTTTAATTTCACTCTGTGGCCCTGCTCTTGGCTACGGAAGCTAAGAAAGATGTTTATTCATACTTTAATGACCAAAAGTCATGAGCTCCTTTAAAAAAAAACTAAAACTAAACCTAAAAACTAAAACCTATTGTAACACATTGTGGAGGAAGACAATAAATCTATGATAGCAAGAAGAAAGTTAGTCCACTTTCCATGCTTTACATGGAGGTAATGACTGAATGATCCCCATACTCAGGCATCCTTTTGTTAAGAATGTAATCATTGTGCCATTGTGATCTGATGGAAAAAATGCATTGAGGTAGATAATGATAATGTGATTATGTACCTATACTCTGATTGTTTTCTTCTTTCTTCAATACCAGCACAAAGTGAATAATACTTGAGTCCTCCATATGCCTGCTCCCCTCAGCTACTTTTCCTTGCGAGAGGAGCAGGAAACAGTGATTGGAATTAAAGTCCTTCCATCTGCAACCGTCACAAGAGCCCTCACAAGGTGCTCAGGGTGCTCATGAGCAGGACAACACAGAAAGCAAAAATCAACACCCATTGATTCATCCTTTTTAATCAGGTGGGTCAAGAACTAGATGCCCTCTTGTTACATAAATTGATGAATTGTTTATTAGGAATAAGTCAATTTAGTTTAAGACTCCAATACAACATTTACTAATTGTGTTGAGTTTCTTAAATGTACATTAAAACCACAATTGTAGCACAATTGTAACAAACATGAACACCTTGAATAATGAAACAAATACACACTCAACAGTATAAAATATCAGCAATTCATTATATTTATCACCACCACAACCTGTCAGAAATTATTATAAATCGTTTAGAAGGACTCGTCCTTTCCATGCCATACTAAGTACAAACACAAGGTGGCACTACAGCCTCAAGATGCTTATTTGTCAGTCGTTTCATTTGGCCTTTACCAGAAACAGTGGAAATATATATTAAAATTCCTAATCTTACTTGTGCACCCACTCTGATAAATTCATCACAAAATTCAGCAGTGTTTACCTCCAGGTTTTCATGGGCATGTAACAGCAGTAAACACAACAAACACAATGCTGTCACAAACGGTGGGAAAGACATTATGCAATGATGAAAAACAACCTGCAACATTTTTACTGAGATAGTGTGATACTGATAAAGACTGTGTACAATGGTGGTTGAGATGGTTTAAAATAATAATAACAAATAGAATAGAATGACAAAACTGACATTGGGCTGGGTTTTGTACTTCTGCTTTGTCAGAAACAGGTTAGCACTTGTTCATAAGTACCATACATGACCAAAGAAATTGATGTTAGATATTTGTTAGATCTCAGTTGTAGATATTTTCTCAGTTTTTGACCCAAAGAGCATTAAAGCCATTTTACATCTATGTCGGCCTTGATGTTGTGACAGCAATTATGACCAGACAGATTGATGAGCTCTTATGAGACAGCATATTGTATCTGTGGGAGTACATGAAGCCCATCATTCCCCATGACTGAAT